ATGCTCAAAGGGTGTTCATCAGACTAAAGAGAGGTATCAAATGTAATGTCATACTTATCAATCCTGGGCTTTATACTCTTTAATATTTTTATTAAGGACATGAATAAAGAGATACAAGGAATATTTAAAGAATGGGTGAGCTTGCTAATTCCCAAGAATACAGAAATAAAACTGAAATTGAGCTTAGTAGGTTAGAGAAATTAGCTGAAATTAACTGAATAAAATTTAAGAGATGAGCAATTTTTTTTCATTTAAAAAATAAAAAGTGATATGGGGAACTTAGTAGTATATTTGTGAAAAAAATGAAAGAGTAATTGATTGCAAAAGGTATATAAGTAAACAGTGTGTGATAAGAGTACAAAATGTTAAGTGCAATTTTAGGGTGCCTTATGAATTCTCCAAGTTACTGAAAATAACAGTACTTTACTGGTCAGACCCCCATCATGAAGTACTGTGTCTAATTCTGAGCAATGATCTTTGAAACAGAGAAAATCAGAGAAACTGAATTAGGTTCACCGAATGTCAGTGAAGATGGTCAGGGTAATAGAAATTAATTTATATAAAAGATATTGAATGAGTGGGATACATTTAGTCCCTGGAAAAAGTTAAGAAAATATGGAAGTACCTGAATTTAGGGTGCAGAACCCAGAATAATGCATTTAAGTTACAAAAAGGAAGTTTTTGACAATGTTAGAAAATACTTCCTCATAGTAAATACAGTTTGATGCTGAAATCAGTTATCTGGAGAGGTGAACGGCTTCCTGTCACTGAATGTATTCAAACAGAGGGTAGATAACCATCTGTCTTGAAAGTTTTACCTAGAATATCTGCATAGAGTAGAGTTAGGTTCTATAATACTATTTTCTATTGCTAACATTGCAAAAAAACCCTCATTTTTAATAAATTTTACACTGTTAGTTATTGGATTTTCTATATTAAGAAAAAAGTGTAATGTAAATTTCTTAAATCTGCATTTTAACATTACATGTTCTTTCACAGCTTTTGAACATTAAAAACTCAATAGCACTTGAATACCTGTAATCAATAAAAATAAATGGAAGTTTTAAGCATCTTAGGCTTCTCATATTATTAGTGTTTTACTTGAGTTTGAACTGTATATCTTTATTTTTATGTATACATTAAAATATGCCACCAAGCCTTCAAACCATGAAAAGTTAAAAGTTCATCAAATTTTAGAAGTTTTATCCTTGAATCATAAGAAAAATTACCCAGTTTTTCTGTAGTTCTTGTATAGATTGGTATATGCAAGGCTCTTCTGGCAACCAAAAGCACTAGAATGTAGTATAGTATACTAACATTGTGCATTAATACTCTGAAAGCTTCCTAGAGAGAAACTCTTACAAGTGGTATAGTGGTATTTAAATAATGAAAATAACAATATAATTGTAACAGTGAAGAGTTCATTTTGGCCAAATAATAGCCTTGAAATGAGATCAGAATGTCAGGATTCATCGCTTAAAAAATTGAAACACTAAAAAAAAAGATATATTTAAGAGCCCTTTGTCTTTCAACATTTTCCCTCAAACATACTTTTTTTACTGCTTCATGCAGGCTGACAAGCCATGCAACATTTCTGAAGTGAAAAGCAGACTTCCTCACAGGATCAAACCATAATACTTTTTCAATCAACTTACATATAATTATAGTTTTAGTTTTGTTACTGAAAGAGGGAAGGAAGATAATTTGTTGACTGATTTAAAAAAATGAATCAAAGCAATGTAAATTTTATGCATAATGTGGTTCAGCTAGGTACCCTTAAACAAGCATTTCTCAATCCTATATTGTTATTCTTGAAGCTTGTCATAAAAATATGTAACAAAAATATTTAAGGCTACCCTGTAAAACAATATTGACATTAGAGAAATGTACCCCGTACTGTTAGTGATGATGCAGGAATTATCCAATTTCCTGCATTTTTTAAAATAAGTGTTTAAGAGGTTTGCAGGAAAAGGATGTTCCCAAAGTCACGGGAAAATGGAATAATCTCTCAACAGTGTTAAGGATACCAAATATTTTAATTGCGCAGGGTGCTGCATATTTTCCCAAATACAACACATCCCCACCACGAATGTACTTTAGATTGAATTATAGAGCAGGGTCGTGCGAAGTTCGAGAAAATTGAGGCAGATATATGACATAATTATACAGCTGATAATGAACTTTAATTTTCTATATTAGAAAATAATATAACGTCTTTCTTTCCAAAAATCAATTGCTGCCCACCTGTTGTTGATTGTGAACTACTGTACCGGTACTATCGCCAGCCCAAGAAGAGCAATCAGAGCTGGTGGGGAGCACCAACTATCACTTCGTGGGTATGGGGAGCAAGAGAAAAGGAAGAGAACGGCATTAAGGACCTCGTACATCACCCAGAAAACAAGGGGACAAGCATGGAAAAAGCAAAGGAAGAGAGACATCTGCAAAGCCCAACACGGGAAGGGAGAAAAGAAACAGTTACCCAGTACGAACAGGATCACTTCACCATAGCTGCTTCCGCCTTCACTAGTTCCGTCCGACCCTATCCTGTTTAATGCGTTCTCTCCGCAAGGGCCGCTGGGAAATGTAGTATCGTGAGTCACCCTTTTAATTTTGCGGTCCTTCAAGTATCTTTTTCCGATCTAGTTGTCCTAAGAAAAGTCATAATTAAGCGCCTTAAGGAATTCTTCTTTTGGATTCGCATAGTCTGTTACGTTCTTCCGGTGAATATGGGACGTAATCTAACCTTTTGAAGAATCGCGCCATGCAAGTCCTTAAAATTTACAGGCTGCTTTTCTTCTGAATCTTAACAACGTTATGTACTTAGTGATAATAGAATAGAATAGAATAGAATAGAATAGAATAGAATAGAATAGAATAGAATAGAATAGAACCTTGGCGGTCTTCTAGTCCAGCCCCCTGCTCAAGCAGGAGAACTGTCTAGTCTCTTCTTAAAAACCTCCAGTGATGGAGTGCCCACAATTTCTGAAGGCAAGCTGTTCCGCTGGTTAATTGTCCTTACTGTTAATTAAGTTTCTCCTTAATTCCAAGTTGCTTCTCTCTTTGATCAGTTTCCAACCATTGTTTCTTGTCCTGCTCTATGATGCTTTGGAGAATTATTTGACCCCTCTCTTCTTTGTGGCAGCCCCTCAGATACTGGAATGCTGCTATCATGTTGCCCCTGTTTCTTCTTTTCTTTAAACTAGCCAAACCCAGTCCTGCAGCTGTTCTTCATATGTTTTAATCTCCAGCCCTTTGATTATCTTACTTGCTCTTCTCTGAACTTTTTCCAAAGTCTCAACATCTTTTTTGTAGTATGGTGACCAAAATTGGTTGCTGTATTCCAGGTCTTACTAGGGTTTTATAAAGCAATACTAATACTTTGCGTGATCTTGATTCTATGCCTCTATTTATACAACCCAGGATTGTATTAGCTTTTTTGGCTGCTGCTGCACACTGCTGGCTCATATTCAAGTGATCATCCAGTAGGATTCCAAGGTCCCTCTCACAGTTACTGTTTTTGAGCCAGGTCTCACCTAATCTGTACTTATACCTTTGATTTTTCCTGCCCAAAAGGAAAATTTTGCTTTTCTTTACATTAAAATTCATTTTGTTGGATAGGGCTCATTATTCAAGTTTGTCAAGATCTTTTTAGATCCTGAGCTTGTCTTCTGGGGTGTTGGCTATTCCTGCCAAATCTGCAAATTTGATGAGTTCTCCTTCTATTCCCTCATCTAAGTCATTTATGAAGATATTGAAGAATACTGGGCCTAAGACAGAGCCTTGTGGTACCCCACTGCTTACTTCTCTTGATGTGGATGTAATACCATTTAGGACTACTCGTTGAGTACGGTTTGTCAGCCAGCTACAAATCCATCTGGTGGTGATGTTGCCTATTCCACCTTTTTCTAGCTTACTGAGCAGCAAGTTGTAGATTACTTTGTCAAATGCTTTACTGAAATCTAAGTGTAATATGTCCACTGCATTTTGCTGATCTACTAATTTAGTCACTTTATCAAAGAATGAAATAAGATTGGTTTGGTATGATCTTTTTTTAACAAACCTGTGCTGGCTACTGGTTATAACTTTGTTTGCTTCTAGTTGTTCACAGATCTGTTTTTTGATTGTCTTTTCCAGGGTCTTCCCAGGTATTGATGTTAGACTGATTGGTCTGTAGTTTCCTGGGTCTGCGTTTGAAGATGGGAACCACATTAGCCCTTTTCCAATCCTCAGATACTTCCCCGGTGCTCCAGGATTTTTGAAAGATGTGGTGCAATGGTTCTGAGATAACATCTGCCAGCTTCTTCAGAACTCTAGGATGTAATCTGTTGGGTCCCAGTGATTTATATTCGTCAAAGTTGGATAGGTGTTCTCTTACAATTTTCTTATTTTAATTTTTGTTTATAGTTTGTCTTTTGCAGTAGCTTTTTTGGTATGTTGGGCTATAATTTCTTTTTGTGTGAAGACTGATGCAAAGCTCTGCTTTCTCCCTACTGCCTGTTATTTAGGAATAGAAGCTCTCTGCTCCGCACATGCGCAACAATATTTTTTACTTACTGAATTGGAAGGAAAAGATCCATTTCTTACTTAGGGGTGATAAAGTGTTACATTCTAAAACCAGCAGACATATTTTGAGAAAATTTGATGCACAGATGCCATCATCACATTCCGAAGTAGCACACTTTACCTCCCCATCCATTGTATGACCCATGTGAAATAGAAAATGCATAGAAAATACATAGGAAAAAATTATTTGCCTCCCATTCTGAAATGAGCATTACATATTCTGTGCATTTTTCTCTTTGTCCTAATAGTTAAACCCAAGTCAAAGTGTAGAATTCAGAATCACAAGCTGAGGAACTCAACAAATGTATTAAAAATTGTCAATTGAAAGTTATCAATTGCTCCTATCCCCTCTTATTCCTTTGCATTTTCTTTTAAGAAACTCACATTATCTTCAGGATCGGTATACCCTAGAATGTGGATTCTTAGGGAAGATAGTGGGAGAGTATTGATCTATCCAAGCTTCAGTGACCTCACCAAGAAAGGCCAAATTGAATGAGAAGCACTGGACCCATCCTCCCATACTTCTATAGATGTCCCAAAATACACAAGCCTGACACATACCTCCCCATCCAATTGTATCATTACCAACTACCCCTACCTAATTCACAAAAGAATTAACAAAAAAGCTTGGACACCACACAAGAGGAAGCAAACTCTCCATCAACTCCCCACTACAGTGCCTTAAAACAATCAAATATATGATTATAGATGAGGACGAAATCATAGTTTCATTTGATGTCACAGCTCTTTTCATGTCCCTAGATCCCAAATGACCACATTGCTCCCCAGCACACCTGACTTAATCAAATACATGAAGACTGAAATATCCAGGATTATGGATTTCATAAACCTCTAAGTAACCACATAGTTCCAATTTGATAGATAAACTTACTGGCAAATTAAAGGTACAGCTATGAGATCACTACTTTCAGGACTTACTTACTTACTTACTTACTTACTTATTTACTTACTTACTTTACTTACTTACTTACTTACTTACTTACTTATTTATTTATAAAAGTTAAGCCACTCCTCTTACCTCAAGGTAACTTATAGTGGAGGTCATTATGCAACATCTAGACGTTATAGCACTTCTACAAATACAACTCAAAATACGGATCAGATATGTAGACAACATCTTCACCATAATAAAAAGGGCCAATTAGAGAACACTCACAAAACCATCGACAGCATCTTCGAAGGAATCCAGTTTGCCAGAGAAGCAGAGAACAACTCACATCCTTCCTGGACATCCTGATCAGCAGAGACCACAAAGGCAAATTAGAAACACAAGTGTACCAAAAAAAACCAGCCACATCAATCAAGTGTTTCACTACCAAAGCAATAACCCAACTTCCTACAAGAGACGCTGTGTAAGAACTTTATTTTGAGAGTATAAACTCATTGCAGCAATCCTAAACAGCAAGAAAAAGGAAACAGAGCATCTATACAACATCTTCCAACAGCATCACCACCAGATGGATCCGTAGCTGGCTGACCGGCCGTACTCAGCGAGTGGTCCTCAATGGAACCACATCTACATGGAGGGAAGTGTGTAGTGGGGTGCCCCAAGGCTCTGTTCTGGGCCCAGTGCTCTTCAACATCTTCATCAACGATTTGGATGAGGGGATAGATGGGGAACTCATCAAATTTGCTGACGACACCAAGCTGGCAGGAATAGCCAACACTCCAGAAGACAGGCTTAAGATACAGAAGGATCTGGACAGACTTGAACACTGGGCACTATCTAACAAAATGAAATTCAATAGTGAAAAAAGCAAGGTTCTACATTTAGGCAAGAAAAACCAATTGCACAAGTACAGCATAGGTGGCACCTTGCTCAATAGTAGTAACTGTGAGAGGGACCTCGGAGTCCTAGTGGACAATCACCTAAATATGAGCCAGCAGTGTGCTGCAGCTGCCAAAAAGGTCAACACAGTGCTAGGCTGCATTAACAGAGGGATAGA